CCACAATTGACAGATTTCTCTGATTGACTTCTGCTCTGTTGTTGCTCCATTAAATCATCATTGACGGCCATACACGCAGACTTTTGTGCATTTATTCCAACGTGTTTCTGCATTCTTGATAAATCCTGCCACGACAACTTCTTTCATGCAAAAATGAATGGACAACACAATGAATTATGTGGCTCAGTGAATTTCTATTCTATCCATCAATAAATGTGATCATTTACACAATCAAACAAAATCACTACAGTACACTTATTGGTGAGCAATCAATTTCCTAGAAAAAATTTAAGAACCATGGTTCGGCCTTAATTAATTGTCAATCTAGCACTTAAATAGAACAGCAAGCATCCAGCTAGATGTTGAATACTAGAGATTTGAGGCAAATTACATGTTGGTAATGCAAAGAGTTTAAGAAAAGGAGGAAGTAAGGTTAGTTTTCCTAACTTTATCTTAAATAAATGTGGGACTTTTAACCAGAGGACACATCTTCCCAGCTGGCCATCAGCTTGAAGTTAAGTAGTTCTAACACAACAGCCTTTACCTTAGATGTGGCTTCACCATCACTGTTCGGGAGGAGTTCATCTGGTTGGCAAAGGAAACCCGTCAGGTTTTCTTGCACAGCTGTTGAACTCCAGTGTGTTATTTCCAGTGTCTTCCAACTCCACGACACAACCGCACAGAATAGATGAGCGTCTCTGGGTCCCAACTCAAATAAGATTTGCTTCCCACAGGAAGTCAAGACAAAGTTGCTTTGTGAGCTTCTAAGCTCTTGTATTGTGGGCACAGCAGGGGTGTTGTGTCCCGTGGCTGTCGAGATACCCCGTTAGCTCTTGGGTCTGAATCTCTTAGCCAAAAACACTGTTTATCTGGGGAGAAAACAGCTGATGTTGTGGTCGGCAGGGAGGTCCGTCTCTCTGTTAGTTGATAAAGAACAAGGTTTTCTTTAGTTCCGCCCTCAGGGTGAGGTCAGTACACAGATAAAAGAAATGTTAGTTCAGAAGTTGCCAAGAGGCAAATTTATCTTTAAACCAGAGGTCGCGTTAACAGAATACTTTCTGTATTTGACCGTTTTTTTTACACAATGACGGAAAAATCTGAAGGCCGTCCATCATTTTGACAGATTGCAATTAACACCCTCTTAAACTGTTCGGCCCTAAGGGGTTTTAGAGGCAATTTCCACCTGAAAATACACAGCAAAATAAAGCAAGAATAGCTCCACAGTTAGAAGGTCTAAATGCTAACTCTTGGTACCTCTGTAAAGGTAAGATCTTTCACCCACGTGCCTACAGAAACGTAACTCCGCCTCCACGTTTTACACATGAGGGCTGTTATTTATATTCTCGGTTACACACAAACTTCACGTCACCAAACAAAGACTAACACAGTGTCAAGATATATCCCTGAATTCATGAGAGCTTCATCTTTTCAAAGATACCAAAGGGAGGGGTATGGAACCAAAACTTGCACAGTAAAAGATGCGGAGAACTTCCTGATACTGAAACGGTCTGCAACAGTTCAAGTAACTTACAAAAGTTTATATAGCCCTAAAATCATACATATTTATCCAAAAATAATTTGGCGACTCATCTTAAAACACTGAAGACACCTTTTGCAACAGACTTAGAAAAAATTTGGTAAAAATAAGTTTTACACCTATTTAGCAAACAACAATGCTATGACGCCATCTGTGGGCCCTGTACAAAGGCCCGTAGGGTAGAACAGATAGCACAACTTCTGTCGGCTCTCCTGCTGCTGTCCCCCGGTGACAGTCATCTTGTGCATGGCCTGCAGTCAGAACTGTACTGACGGGACGTTGCGGCTCTCAGTGTGTGATAGGTCCAGAGTTTGTGGGTGTGTTTGTTATGAGGAGCACCGAAGCGGGACAGTGGTCCACAGCTGTGGCAGTGCCGAGGAGTTGGAGCTGGACTACGACCAGATGAGGACCCTGAGCAGCTCAATTCCTTCCATGTGTTATTTTGTTTAAAATTATATTTTTTGTCTGAAGCCAGTTTTAAAAAGAGCTCAAAGAGCAGCTGCTTTGACCCAGGTCCCACGGATGAACGTGAGCGTGCAGCTGGTTGCGTCTTTTTTTTCCATCCAGCAGAAAAAAAGTCTCTACTTCACTCAACTTAGCACTGATATTGAGTAGAAAAAACACTATCCAGCCATCGTTATTGTGTTTATATACTTTATATGAGCTGTGGGAGGGCAGAGGGAGGATTTATGATAATTTATGGCCCACCGCGTCTTCAAGCCTGTTTATACTCGGTCAGGAAAAGACGTGCCGAAATTGCGCAATCATCAACCCGCTGTCTCACGTCTTATTGAAGTATCCAGGCTTAAGTCTGGAAGACTTAATAAATAAGCGAGGTGAGGTGGAGAAAATAAATCAACAACAACAACAAGACTGCCCTGTGGCATCACCCTCACAGAGACATTTTCAGCTTTACGCATGGAGCAGGTCTACATCACGGAGGTCTTATTTAATCTAAAGTAAATAAAATATTCCCATCTGATCATCATCTCAGATCTAGACACCACACTGAACGCATCTCCAGGAGCTGACAGAGCGTTGAGGACAGGAGGCTTTGGAGCGTCTGTAAGGCTCAGCTGAAGCAGTGGCGCAGTGGGAGTGCATGCTGTGGGATTTCCTCCTGCTAAAGCCACAGCTTTGGGATTTGGAAATAAAGTCTTGCTGACTTCTGATCACTTCGACTGGAGAAATGTTTTCTTAAAATTTTGGCTGAAATGGTGCTTGTTATTCCAACAGTGTCACAGCAGAGCATGGGTTTAAACTTCAGAACCACGGGCGCAGATGTGCGTAACGTGAGATTTTCCTTAGATATTTTATTGCATAAATCAAATCTATACTCGTTTTCTGTTTTTATTTAATAATATTATTGGGGCGGCTGTGGCAGAGTGGTTAGGGGAGTCGTCCTGGAACCAGAAGGTTACTGGTTTGATCCCCCATCCAGCTGTCTCAGTTGTTGTGTCCTTGGGCAAGACACTTGTCCCATCAGTGTATGAATGTGATTGGCACTGATTAGTCTCCATAGATGATTGTACTTGTTAGCTCTGTAGGACACAGATTGTAGTGTGAAGAGCTTTGAGTGTCAGAAAGGTGCTGTAGAAGTACAGTCCTTCTACCATATTTTTAACACGGTGGCAGCAGTGCGTTATGACTGACTGCACCTCTGCCTTTCTCTTTTCTCTCATCCTCCTGCAAGGGAGGCAGAGACAGAAATAAGGAGGCGTTATCTAACGTTGCAAACTGCAGCCATTAAAAAACGTTTGTGGATTTATTTATTTATTTTATCATTATCATTTTGACTTTTCGTAAGGTAACTGAGTCAAAAGCAGGACAGTGTGTGTGCGTCATTGTGCGCGTTGGGGCTGGTGTGGGACAGATGCGCTGTTTTTCAGCAGCATGCACATTCGAGATGGGATAAATGGCTCTTTGAAGGGATCCAGATCTTGGGGAGCAGTTTGTTTCATAGAGCCGTTCAAAAGAGCCGTTCGATTTTGAACGTATTACGTCATCACGTAGCCGTACGTAATGACATCATCCCATCAAGTGGGTGGAACCATGTGTTTGTCAAGTGGAAAACCCCCTCCCCCTTTCACCGTGAGCTTCTGTACTCCACAACTCTGCCTGTTTTCCATGAAAAAGTAAAGTGGGAGTGATTTAAGTCTGAAAAAATAAAGATTATATGAGGAATAAAAGAAATAAAATTACAAACGGCTCGTTACTGCCCGTGATTCGGCTCCTATCGCTCGTTGTAAAGAGCCGTTCAAAAGATTCGGATCGTTCGCGAACGTCACATCTCTATCGCATGTGGCCTGTATTTGTGTGAGGTGCACTGATGAATTTTTCTCCGATAAAATCCTGCAGTCGCCGCAAAGCTGCAAAACCAACATGACAATAGTCACATTCTATGAATGTTAAGTCATTATCATTTTCGATCATGACAGATTTTTGTTACCCTGTCAGTCAAAATGACGGACAGCAAAAAAGTCTAGCGCCACCTCTGCTTTGAACACACATTGTTGTAATCTGTGCAGTAAAGAAACAAAACATGTTGACCTGCTTAGATATTCTCTGATGAGAACTCTTTAAAAATAATGACTGAAAGAATGAATTACTTTTTAAACACACATCATTTGCTATATGATTCAGACAAATAAAACACTTGTTTCATCAACTTAAACCATAATGATTAGTTTAGTTAAATAAGATATTTCCACAGAAAAACCCATAATATAGCTGAAATCATATTGATGGAGAAAAGATTTGTGTCCTCTTTTCTCCTGTGACTTGATAAACACTGTCTCGTGATTATCAAAATGCATAATAACTTTTAGTTAAGAGAAAAATAAATCAAATAAAAAGATTCTTCTGTTTATTATCTGATTAAGAAAAAGAGAATGTCTCTTTTACAGTTTAAGGTGACCTGTGTGACCGTAAGTCAGGTTGAACCAGAACAGTTCTGTCTCTCTAAAGGGCCTATCAGAGGCCTGGGGTCAAAGCCAGTTTCCATGTTTATTTCACTGGAGGTGACCCCCGAAGCATCAAGCTGAAACGTTGCCTCTTTACTCGCGTCGGTTCTTCAGAAAATGTACTTTCTCTGTCCGATGTAAGATTATTCGAGAAAGGCTCAATTGTATCCTGAGTTGTGATTTTCCAAAACCAATACTGTATAATGTTGCTGCTATTTTTATTATTATTACAACAAGATCCAGCGCACCTAAGACTGGTTGTAAACAACATGAAGCTGTTGTGATGAGGAGGTTCTTAAAGAGACAGAGGCCAATTTCAAGGTGTTTAGAAATGGTAATGATGCAAAGTAAAAACTTTTCTTTTAAATTGACAGCATTTTCATAACAACTGATGGTGGCACAGTTACTTTATTTTGGTATATAGAACTGAACTGTAAGCCTGAGAAACACATAATACTGGCCCTTTAAACAAATAAACAAAAAACAAAAAAGCATTATACTCCTCTGAGCTCCGTTGTGATCTTGAAGAGGACTTTGAGGACAGGGTTGGCAGACTCATTTTGCATCTCCACCAGCTCATCCAGTTGCCTGGGGACTTTTATTCTGTTGACCTGCAGGGAGAGAAGCTGATCGTTCTCCTGCTCATGGCACTGAAGCAGTAAGAGGGAGGAAACGGGATACTCACAGTGAAGACTCTCTCAGGCTCTCCTCGCGCTCGCATGTTGGTGTCGTGGATTTGTTTGAGCACCATCCAGGCCTCATCATGCTTACCAGTCTAGGAAATGATTATGGTCACGTTATTGTCAATTTATAGTTCATAATGTCATTAAAGCAGGGGTTCTTAACCTTTTTGACCTCGGGGCCCAATTTATTGAACATAAAGTGACACGAGGTCCAGTCAGACATTACCAATGTACGGATCAAAAATGATAATTATTCTAAATCTTGGTTTAATTTTTATTGTATTTACATCATAACTAAACTATCATAACT